CCTGCAGTACGAGTGGTGTTTGCATCCCAGCCGCTCTGCTATACAGAAAACAGCACCTCAACGTGGTTTCACTTGTATTTCCTGGACTGCCCGTGAGGGAAAAATTTTACAGTATGTTTCTTCATTATTCATATATCTTCTTTTACAAATTTCCTGCTGACATTAATTCTGCCTTAATCTTAACTTGGTGTTTCAGACACACGACTAAGGCACTTGCTGTCCCATGTGGTGGCACACCTGACCTGGAGGCCGGCTTCTTATAAATGGTAAGGAGACCTTCTGAAAGCTCAAACTGCAAACCTAAACATACAAGTGATGAAAGAAAGGGCCAGGACTCTTTCAGAAAACAAGAGTGGTTACTAAATCCACATGAAACTTTCCTGTTTATATTTGAAGGAGTTTAACCAGAATCAGAGTGAAAGTGCTCAAAGGTGATGGAATTCCTAACATGTGATCATGGCCCCTGAGAACCAAAGGGGCTAGGTCTTTCGTCCACACTGCCAATCACTGGCCCAATGAGCAGAGGTCTTTGGACCCTCAGTCCAGATCTACTACTCGAGACAGTGGCAAGGGGCTGAGAAATGAAAACAAAAGTGGAATAGTTGCAGTCTCAAATCCCTCCTGAAATGACAATACTAATCAAAGGGAAGAAAGAAATACAAACAAAATTCTGATTTATACACATTTCAGAAAAAATAGCTAATAAATAAAGAGGAATACACATGTGGTCGACAGATCTCAATTTTTCCTCCTAAATCGGCTTGCTAAGGTTGTGTGGAGGCAGTCAACAATTCTAACTGGAGAATTGTGAATTATTCATCACCGAAAGTGGGTGATTTTCATTGCATTTGCGGCGGACTGGTTTACTAAAACACCTCTGATACAGAGGTAACACTCAGAGTGAGTTTTCAGCGGCTGTTGTTGCCCTGATAAGATTTAACATGAGTGATCCTGACAGCTGAGCCGAGACAGAGATAAGACGCCTCTCTGCACCTTCCTCAAACATCTCAGACTTTTGAGCACTAAAAATAAATCTCCCTGTTTTTTAAGGGAGGGTATGGAATAGAATCTTCCTGTCTTGTAAAGAATGAAAAAAACCCCAAAATACTGCACAGATATATTTCAATTTATACTTAAAGTTGATGGTAAAGCAAATTCCAGGTGTACCTGGAAACTTTGCAAATCAGAAATTCCTTTGAATAGAAACAAGTCATACCCCAAACTGTATTTTAAAAATTTTGTCAGAATGCTGCAAACCCTTTTTCTCCTCAAATACAGTTTTAAACCCCTGGGGAAAAGTCATAAAAGTAGCCAGGCCCTGTCCTAGATCTTAAAACAGCCATTGAATCACTTATTGACTCATTCTTTACTTCTACAAATAATTTTTCAGAGAAATGTGCCCCCCACTAAGGAGCCAGAAGTCATTTATGGTATTTGTTTCTAGACCTACATGAGAAGGAAATATTTCTCACGCTGTATTTGGTCTTTGTACTTAACCTCTATCCAATTCTCTCTATCCCAAGGAGAACCTTTCCTTTGAAGGATGTGAACTTTTATGTGTTTATATCAAGGGATTAAACTCATGTATCTAAACAAACATTCTCCGAGAATGAACGTACAATATCCATGATACTGTGACAGTAACAAGACACAGTTCCCATCCTCAAGGGTAAACTTTATCTAGTGAGGTAAAGAAGTTTCCATAGAGAAGAAATGCAAGGCAGAATGGTAAATCCTGTAACCCAAGGTACCAACATTTTCACTAATTTATCTACCTGACGATTAATGTTGCTAATGTGGTTAGTGTTCTTCTGATGCAGATCGGTTTATTGTTACACATGAAGGTCTCTGGGAGTAAGGAGAAGAAAATTATTTTAAGCATTTGATTTATATCCTAAATTACTTTTCTGACAGTAGACTTCTAATCTGTGTGTGCCTGCGTGAGGAAGCAGGTCTGCGCGCGGTGTGAAGCGAGGCACCTTTCAGTGTGCTTCATTTTAATGAAAATGCATTTTAGTCTGCGTTACACAGGTTTTAAAACTAAAATACTTTTTATCAACAATTTAAAAACACATATACTTTGACCCAGCACTTCCCAGTGTCAGAACTTGAACCTACAGATATGATCCCAAATACCTGCCAAGAATATAGATAGAGTCACTAGATATTTTTTTTTTGTAATAGCAATTGGAAAAAATACATGACAAATAAATTATGATATATTCATATGATGGAACATTATACATAAATTTTAAAAAATGGGAGATTTGTGCACAGTGATGTGGAAAGATCACCAAGATAATATTATTAAATCAAAAAAGCAAAATACATAAATATAATATCTGTATGTAAATTTTATATCGCACATTGTATGTAATATACATATATGTAACAAACATTACACATATATAAAATTTTAAAATGAGCATATCAACAGAAACATGGAGATACACAAAATATTTTTCTGAAGAAATCAAAAGAACCTTAAGTTGAGGAGAAGGGTGGAGGGTGGGGTACAGGGAGGGAAATTTCAATGTTCACTTTGCGCAGTTAAAAACTTTTAATCTTAGATGTATTACTTTTTTATTATTTTATTTTTCTACTGTTAATATAGGTTATCTGGAGAGATAATCAGATATGTTTTCCCCTTCTCTGCAATTAAAAATTACTCTAAAACATGTTCTATTAAAAAAACAAAAAACAAAAAACAAAACACAACTGAAAAAAAATCCCGGGAACTATGCTCCTGGCAAACAAGAGAGCCTGAACTATTGTCCTGATGAAAAACAAGTGAAAAAGCCAGAAAAGATACAAAACAGTTATTGTTTTAAATGCGTCTTTGAGCTGGCAAACTCTAAGAAATGAGGTAGAAATATATGTATTTTTAGACAAATAAGAACTATTGGATGAACCTTCACTAAAGGACATAAGAGATATTCTAAAGTATACATTTCAGATAAAAGGGAAATGATTTCAGATTTAAGGTCAGAAATGCAAGAAGGAAGAGTGCGAAAAGATATTAGTAAATATTTAGATTCCATATAATTCCAATTAAACTCCCAATAGATACCTCTGTGGAATTTGACAACTGAATCTGAAATTTATATGGAAGAACAAAGGTCCAATCATAGCCAAAATACTCCCAAAGAAAAAGAACAAAGTAGGAGGACCTCTCTTACTGGATATTAAGACTTCTAAAATTAAAATAACAAAACCAGTAAATAATTAGCACAGCAAAAGGCAAACAGATCAATGGATAGAATAAAGAGCCTATAAAAAGGCCCTTGCAATATACACGAAAACTTGATTTATGATGGAGCGGGCACTACAGATCAGTGGGGAAATGGATGGACTGTTCCGTTAATGGTACCGAGACACTAAAAGCAATAGCCGTAAAGGAAAAGATTATTAACATTTACTACATTAGATTTACAGTTTCTGTTCATCAAAAGATACCATAAAAATAAGCTAAGAGGTAGGAAAAAATACATGCAATACATACAGCTGAAAAAGGATTAGCATCCGGAATATTAAAAGAATTCCTACAATCAATAAAAGACAACCCAGAAGAAATAAGGGCAAAGGACACAAACAGGGATTTAACGGGAAACACAGAGATTCATGAACATATTAAAAACATGCTAAACCTCAGTAAGTAAGCAGTGTTTTTAAATTCAAATTTAAGTCACAAAGTGATCCATTATATAACACCAGTTTGGCAAAATTTAAAAAGTTCGATAGTACCAAATGCTGTAATGATGACGTAGAGCAATAGCAACCCTCATCTCTGCTAGTGCGAGCGTAGGTTTTACAGCTAATTTGGAACACACTTTGATGTTCCTTAGTAAAGCTGAACACGTGCATACCCTATGATTCAGCAATTCTGCTCTCAGGTACACACTCAAGGGAAATGCTGACAGGTACGCCAGGAAACGTGTACAAGAGTGCTCACTGCAGTTCTGCTCATAACTGCACGAAGGAGTCCAACAACCATCAACGGTGGTGTGGACACACAGTGAGTTCTGGACTAGAAATTCCGTTCCATGTAATGGGATACCATATAGAGGTGAAACCGAAACGAAGCACAACTCCATGCAGCAACATGCATGAATCCCAAAAAGCGATGAGTGAGGAAAGCAAGAGAGAACACGTGAAATACCATTCTACTTACATAAAGTTCAAACACAGGAAAACTAAACAATACACATTGTTTCAGAATATACACAGAGGCGATGAACTTATAAAGAAAAGCAGGAAAATGAATAATTCAAGATTGAGGACAGGGGTTAACTGGGGGAGGGATGGTGGTGTAGGAAGAGGGATGATATGATGGAGAGGGGCACCCTGGGTATTCTAAGGGACTGTTGAGCTCTATTTCTTAAACTGCAGAGGGGGTGCACGGATATCATTTTATTCTTTAAATTACATAATACACTAAACACATCCTTTATTTATATGATGTATTTCATGGGAAAAAAGCACACACACATTTTTCTGAACATAATAGGCAAGAGATGATAGGCCAATAGGAAAGGAATTTATCAATGGATGTACAATGTGATTGCCTAGCTTTTAATTCATTATATACTTTTATCATAGTGATTTATCAAGGAAGGATTCAATCAAGCTTAGAAATAGAGCTTACACAGAGGGACCAGATGATAAACATGACCTCACACGAGAAGCTATAAAAGCCATATAACATATGAACCACTCGCTCTTCTCTGCCTCACAAGTAAGAATCTCAATCACTTAACTCAGTTAAACAGAGAAGAGCTGAAGGCAAGATCCTCTGTGAGCACGCAGCCCAACGTGCTAGAACTGATTAAGCAAGAGAAACGCACTTCAAAGGGTGAAGGCTAACAACGACCTCTAAAAGTGTACTGGAAAAATAGAATTTTTCTGCTACATATATTTATCTTGCTTCGGAAGAACTGACACCTGCTTTAAGTTGGTGTTCACGGAACTGAATTCTTTTGCAAAGCAGTGTAAATGCTCACCTGTGTTTGACCATTTTTTGATCATGGCAAAAATGACTAAAGAATCTCGCATAGAACAAGTGCATGACAGCATGTTCTTTCCCGCCAATGTACAAATCCACAGGCATCCAGTAATCGGCCAAAGCTGCGCTAAAAGGGCTGGAAGAAAGAGAAACTGTCATTTTTTAAAAACCTACTTTGCTAAAATCAATTAGACAGACCAACTATAATTTGCATATTCCCTGAAATACATTATGTTAGAGAAAAACAGTGGTTTTCTTTTTAAAATATAATAAGAGAAAAGCTTATATAACAAAGGAGAAAAAAATCAGATCAGTGTTGATTTATGATATTTATAAAAACTGTTTCAGAAGCTATTACTGACATATTTTAACAAAGGCAATTTTCATACAAAATGAGGGCAAGAGGAAAACATACCAGCCAAAAAAAGGTATTTCTGTAAAACGTGTATTTGAATATCTAGATTTATTTTAATTTTTATTACAATTAGATAACTGAGATTCTTGAGTTCTTACCAATAGAGGGCAACGTGGCACTTACAATGGAGATTAACATGCAGATGCTAAATGTTCATTTTAAAACAGAAATTCAATCTTATTTTTAAAAGCAGCCTTAAAATACAGATAGTCAGCAAGAGCCTATATATGGCCTCCTGAATGCAATGAGCATATTTAGAGTGACTGTCATAAAACAGCCCAACGACTCTCCCACCTAACAGACACTTTAGTTGACAGAGATCCTAAAAGGAAGGGGTCCCCATACTCCCCAGTCCTAATGGATGCCGGGGAGGAAAGGAAATGCCACTTCCCTCTATTTTCTGGCTGGGACTCGAGGGGGAGTGTCCGAAGGGTGCAGGGTGTATGTGTGTAAGTGTGTGTGCACGCCTGTGTGCGTGGCAGTGGTGGTGGGAAGTGATGCTGGCTGAGGACAGAGTTCTTAATCCCAAAGTAACACCCTCACTTGAGGTGATCCAGTGAAGGAAACCTTTGCCCTTGGAGAATCTGTACTCCATGGCTTCAGATATCTGTGAATTCTATTCCCCACGCCTCGAAGCACCTTTTTACCCCAGCAGGGACCTGGCTGGCTCCAGCTCAGCCTGGGAGTAACAGCCTGGTGCTTGGCAAGTAGGTTCATCTTAATATAGCTTGGTTTTCTCTCCTCCAGTCACTGTGCCAGAATTCTGGTAAAAAAAAATTTTTTTTTTGAGCAAGACTGGCCCTGAGCTAACATCTGTGCTCATCATCTTCCTCTACTTTTTATATGTGGGACGCCTGCCACAGCATGGCTTGAGAAGTGGTGCATAGGTCCCTGCCTGAGATCCGGCCTGGCGAACCCCTGGCCACCAAAGTGGAGCATGTGAACTTAACTGTTGTGCCACCCAGCCGGCCCTTCTGGTAAAATTTTAAAAAATGCTTTTCCGTTCTGAAAAATGGTTCCCTTGAGAAATCCAACTGCTCATCTAGGTGACAGAAAAGAAAGGGAAATCAAGGATGGTACTCGGCCCAAAAACAAGTTTGGGATAAATTAAGGAGTGACATGTTGAAAGGAGCTATAGCTTGGATCTGTGATCTAGCCCGGAAACCACACTAGTGAGAACTCCAGCCAGTGCGGAAACTGAGGGCAGCATCTTCTGAGGGAAATGATGCGCTCGTGGTATTCCCAAAGTAGGGGGCGGTGCAGGTCTCAAGATGTCTCTCTCTAGTCAAGGGTCCCATCACTGTAACTTAGAGTCTCCACCATCTGTAAGCAGGCTTTCCTTTGAAGCATTCGGAGAGGCAGAGAGCCTGATTCCCCTCCCATTCTAAGCCAGCTGTTACTAAGTGGAATGCACCAAAAGCCCCTTCTAGAAGGAAGACTCAGAAGGCCCCCTCTGTAGGTTAGCCGGGCCACCCTGGTGGTTCCCAGCCCCAGCAGACATCCTGCCTCTGCCGGCTACTGTTGACTCAGGATCCCACTCATGTCTAGATGGCCTGAACCCCAATTACAGAATTGCAATACTGCAGGGCGGGATTTGAGTAGCAGGAGAGCAGGAGCACCCATCTCACTATATTTTACAACCCAGGAAGAAAAAGGGGGCATTTGTCTAGGTGGACTGCAGGGGTTCAGGATGACAGTTCTCCCACAGACAAGAGCAAGCTGGCGAGGCCTCTGAAGCACGGGGCGTGTGCCTTTCCTGGGTCTGCATAGTTTTCCTTTCTCTCAGTCCCTCTCCTTACCTATCTGCCTACAGCTCTCTCTCCCTTATTCATGCATTCACTTTGGTCAAAGAAACACATGCACAGAGCAGAAAAGTCAAATAGGACTAGAAGGGTTATGATTTAAAACAGCAGTCTCCAGCACCTTCCTTCACCAACTCCCCTCCCCGAGGCCTATCCCTTAGTCACTTTTAATTCTTTTAGCTGTTTCCTCTGGCCATTATTAAAAAATATGTTTATATTCTTTGTTGATTTGTCAATTTAAAAATGATCTACTGACTATGTGGTGAGAGGTAAGGCTTCTCAGCTCCTCATACTCCCTACCTCCCGGTAGACTTATGGCATTATTTTCAGTTAAGTAAATAATATTACATCTTCACAATCACATAAATGCAGTTCACCGAAGGGCCAAGGAAGGTATTACAATAGCAATTCCTTCCTTTTTCTGTTTTTATTTTCCTTGTACTTGAGATTTACTTGGCTGTGAAGAATCTAATTTAATAATTTAACACACTCCCTTTACCAGAGTGAGCCTGTTTCAAGGAGCACAGCTGACCAACAGCTTCTAGCTGTCGCATCTTTGGATCTGCTCAGCGTTCATGCCAGCCCACGCTCTCCCAGAGGCAGGGGACCAGAGCAGAGGCATTTCTGCCTGACTTGGAACTCTCTGAAGGACAAGCTTTGCTCGGGGATTCCCACTGGCCTGGTTGGGACTTTCTCAGAGCTGTGCCACGATCTGAGGCTCTTCCTACCCAATCCTCTTTCTTTCCCCTTCTCCTTTCACAAGTGTTAGACCAGCATCATGGTCTAAGGACTCCTGCTCCCTCACCCCTTCATTCTTCATACGCATATCCCTCAACGAATCTCTTGCATGTCTAATTCCATCATGGTGTTTGCTTCTTGGACGACCCAGACTGATGCATGCTCAGTGAATGCAGCAGGGCTTACCTGTGAGCATTCTGAGGGTCGGTGTATCTGAAGTAGTACCAAGCAGAATCAACAAAGGTATCCATCGTGTCTGTCTCTCTCTGGGCTGCTCCCTTGCACCTAAGAAATAAATGAAGTTCATCAATTGTTTTCTTTAAAAAAATTTTTTTTTAAAGATTGGCACCTGAGCTAACAACTGTTGCCAATCTTCTTTTTTTTTTTCCCTGCTTTTTCTCCCTAAATTCCCCCAGTATATAGTTGTATATTTTAGTTGTGGGTCCTTCTGGTTGTGTTATGTGGGACGCCACCTCAGAGTGGCCTGAGGAATGGTACCATGTCCACGCCCAGGATCTGAACCAGTGAAACCCTGGCCCACTGAAGCGGAGCGTGTGAACTTAACCTCTTGGCCACTGGGCCGGCCCCTTCTTTTTAAATTTTAATGCAGTTTTCCGTCAGCCTTTGAGGAAGCTATGACAATCAGTATGAATTTAAAATGTCACAAGAACAATGCCACATCAAGAAAATTCAGAGAAAGCTCTCTTTTTGTATTGTATGGTACATGATGTTTTAAAGAAATTTACAAAATGAAAAATTTCAATCTTCAACAATTAAAAGCCTTATTTACCCACTTCTTTAACATGGCAAAAATCTAACAACCCAAAAGGAGAAGATAAGAGTGAGTGTCTCTTTTGCACGTTAACTTCTATTTCAGGCATGTCAAGATTGCTTTCTGCCAAGGCCTACTTTATGATGCTTATGAGGCAAACCAATTTATGAAGAGAAGTTGAAAACCAAATGTATCAAGATGCTATGCTGAAAAATGAACTTGGGTTTTTTTTTTCTATTTCTGCTTTAGGGTGAGGGGTGCAGAAATCCACTGGTGAGAGCTTAGGAGGATAAATCACCCTTGAGGCCCAAGGGCAGTGGTGTGCTGGTGCCAACTCATACCATCTTGTGAGAGTCAACTGTTAGTGTATCTTCCCACCTCTGTGAGAAGTGATGTCAAGTTGGTATCCTGAAATTAGTCCCAGTGGGAGTATGTATACCACAGAAATCAGCAAACACTACAAATCAGAAGCCCCCCTCCAGAGAGCTATTTTTTTTTCTGCTTTTTCTCCCCATGTCCCCCCTGTACATAGTCGTATATTTTAGTTGTGGGTCCTTCTAGTTGTGGCACGTGGGACGCCGCCTCAGCGTGGCTGACGAGCGGTGCCATGTCCGCGCCCAGGATCTGAACCGACGAAACACTGGGCCGCCGAAGCAGAGCTTGCAAACTTAACCACTCGGCCACGGGGCTGGCCCCCAGAGAGCTATTTAATACACATTTACCAACACACCACTGCCTAAAGATAGGTTCCTTACAGAGGGTGAAGAGAGCTCTACTGTCCAAAAAAATGAATAAAGTGCGATACTCGGTGTGCAAAGGGCTGAAAAGAAAAAGCAATCCTCGTCCCAGGATGGAGTTGCCTGGGGAGGACCAGGGTTCCACAAGGGCCCAACTGCTGAACCGGTTTTGAAGCATGTTCTGTGAGACTGAAAGAACCGGGTGCCAAAAGCCACAACTTCTAGGAACCCAAGAAAGAATGCCCTTAGTCAAACCCAGCCTAGGAGGGGGCTCAGTCCCTTGAAGACCCCTCAAGGCCTGGATGAACAATGGATGGGTTGTATCAACTGTTAACAGGAACTCTTTGTGCCAGTGAGAAGCCACACAGTTCAGACTCCAGGGCCTCCCTTTTGAGGTATGGACGTGGGATCCACTCCTCCAAACGCTGCCCTTTTGGCAGTATAAGTCTTCGGGGGGTTCTTGGAGAATTCAAGGAGGGGCATGAGGAGCCCCAAGAGGAACTGATGAATCTCCTGCTAATTTAGCATGCAAGGGCTTGAGTCTGTTTTTAATTTTTAAATAAAAGAAGGGTTGCATTTATATCTTGCGTCTGTGAAGCAGTTCATACTAGCGTTATAAATATTACTGAAGGAAACAGCGACTGCCCACCTTCTACTTGTTAAATGGAAGTGGCTGAGCAGAGAGACAGCAGCCACAGATCTGGTAGGGCTCTGGGACTCCCAGGGGCCTCCTGCATTTTAGTTAGGAGGCCTCCCACCGGGAACAGTGGTGGGTCCCTGGGGTAGGAGCTTATCAGAGAGAACCCCGAGGGAATTCTGTAACCGACCACTCAGGGTTGTTATGAGATACTGATCTCAACAGTGCATCTCTACATTAAAGCCAGGTCTTTTTATCTGGAGAGCAATCAACCAGAACACAGATACTATTCTGGGAAATAATTAGAAGATAAACATTACTTTTTCTCCTCACCATTAGTGAACCCGTATACAAGTTAGGAAGAAAATGCAGGACTCAATTGATAAAGGAATAACATCTGGCTAAAACCTGCCATGCTGGTTTTCTTTTTAATGGTCACATTGGACTTGAAGACAACCAACATGTTTTATGGCTGACACTAAACGCTGGATGATATGGGAGAGGTTCCTTGGTAAGTAGGAGGATAGATGATGGTGACGGTGACATTATTATCATTATTAGCTCCAACAGTAATAATCCTAATACTGGGTGGCAGGCACTGAGCCAAAGGCTTCACAGACATTTTCTCATTTAATCCCCAGTAACCCTGGGGATTATGAGGTAGATGATGTCCCCATTTTGCAGATGAGTAACGTGGAATAAGAGAGCTTAAGAAATCCGCCCAAGGACTTGCAGCTCAAGAGTAAGAAATCCACATCTGTTGGACTCTGCTGCCTGTGGTTCTTACCACTATGCTGTCCCTCTTGGCCACGAGCTCCCTATGTTCCTGCCCACAAGCCCCATCTCAAATCTCCACGCCACCTGAGTGAGCACCTGGGAGGACTGTTAGCAAGTCCCTGGCACGACGGAAGTAACACTTCCGTTCACTGAATGTTTGCGAGGGGCCACTGTGCAGGGTTACATGTGTTGCTTCTGGTCTTCTACACGGCCCTTCAAGGGAGTTATTTCAGTTCCTGACAAGGGAATCGAAGCTCAGAGAAGTTAAATGACTTTCCCAAGACCACACAGCTGGTTAAGGGGCAGGGCCAGGACTTGAGTCCACTGTTGTCTATCTGTCTGCCCGGCCTGAACCTTGCCATTGCACTATGTGGTTACCTAGGTACCAACCTTATAACTCAGCTCTGGACTAGCAGAGGACAAAATTATTTCTAAAACATCCTCATCATGATCTATAAGGCAGACAAAAATGGCTTCTCCACAGAAGGAAGATACTAGAGCTTGCTGTTGTTTACTTGTTTAATCAGCTGCTATGAGATCATAAAAATCACATTTGAGACATGCCAGTGAATTGACAGAAAAATGCAATCCCACTCCAAGATGAGGAGAAAGGAAACAGTGTGTTTCAGTATATTAAGCATGAAGCCCCTGAGCACACTCGTCACGGCTACTGTTCTGCTACTTGTGAGAAAGTCTCCACGGTCACCGTGTGGGAAAACTGTAAGGCGGAAGGAGAAAATATTTCTCTCATCTCCAAGGAGCTCTTTGGAATATAAAATGGAAGAAACTTGTCCTCTACAAAGGTATGATGCAAATGTGCAGCTTTTCTATGGGCTGGATCAGATGTTTCCAGGAGCAGTGTGAACTGACGCTGCCACTTCCACCAGCTCAGAGCAGCAGAGAGGGCGCCCATCACAGCAGCTAGGCCTCAGATCCCAGCCCCTTCTCCCAAAGGTCCCGAGAGGCCTAGGGCATTCTTTCCAGTCTGGTGGAAGTCCTGGAAAAAGGGAGCAGAGGGAGCCCCAGGAGGCAGGAGGAGTCTGAAACCCTGGCAGGGGGCTGGGCCACTGCTGGGGGACGTGGTTCCTTACCTAGGGCAGGAGCAGTTCACCCACTCCGAAGCTGTGGCCAGTGGGGAGCCTCCCTTGCCGGTGAAAGACGTGACGCTGGGCAAGGTCACCGGCAAGTCCTCCAGAGGCACCGGCACGGGGCCGCAGGCTGGGCAGTGGACCACGGGGATTGGCGTGCCCCAGTAGCGCTGCCGCGAGATCAGCCAGTCCTTCAGTTTATCACTTGTCACGTCTCCACCCACTCTCTTCCTCCGGGCTTTCTGAGTCAGGGCCAGAAACGCATCCTGCCGGGTCATACCTGTGAACTGAGAGGCAAAGGAGAGAGTCCGTTCCTTCCTCTCAGGAACAAGTTACCACCCCCACGCCACCCCCGGGACTGCTGTTTTTATGCGTGGTCTCTAGGGGCTACGTTATGACTTTTGTGGGCCCTGGATACCTTTGTGGGCCCTTCCTTCTTAAGATAATATTAAAAGTTGTATTTTAGTGTGTTGACTAAAGATGAATATAATTTTTGACCCTAAGAGTTCACTCTTCTGATTTTAAAAGAAATTAAACCTTTTTGGGGGCCCCTGAAAGTATTGTGGGCCCCGGGAACTGTGTCCACTGTGTCTAATAGGTAAAGTGGCCCTGGTTCTGTGACTCCCTCTATCACCTGAGCCCTGCCATACCTACAGAGAAAATATCAGCATTTAGCTGCCAGTAAAGACCTGCATGATACATATTTCTAAAGACTACTCCTCTGTTGGGGGGGAAAAATATCTAGAAAAGAAAAATTCAATATTATCCTAAAGCAGAAGGAATTCAGGCAAGTGGGGAACAAACTGAGGCCTGAAGGACCAGAACCACTCCTTGTGTATTTGAATGCCCCCATTTTATAGACAGCAGGCCAGGATACGACACTAGAAAAGAGAAAGTCTCTTTTCACCTGATGCTTTTCAGAGAACCAAGTTAATGATAAGAATCGAGCCAGCGCGGCTGGATCGTGGGTACCCTGGCATTGGTTCAGTGAAGACACAGTGCATGCCTACTATGTGTCAGGCCTGTGCTAGGCACTGGGGGCACAAAAATAAATCCAATCTGCCCCCTGCCCTCAAGGAGCTTACAGTCATGAGGCATAAAGAGTAAGAAAGTACAGCTACGTTTATCAAAAGCAGCTCTTTTCATTACGGGTCTGAAGTGTCTTCTGAAGTATAGAGCTCTCTGCCAAGGAACCAGTTATACTCTGGAGGGCATTTTCTATGTCCCACACTCCCACTATCATACCATTACAGTACCAGTGATCACAAGCTCTCCTGAAAGTCTATCTTCCCTGTGCATCACTGTCTTTACATTCCAGGAGCTCAGGGACGAAAGGAGCCTTTCACTATCCATTCTCTTTCCATCTGTTGAAAGAATGCCTTTATCCTAGATATTCAGTCTACAGCCAGAAGATTCAACAGACCACCTGAAGCTATTTGAAAGAAGCAGGGGAGCATAATTAATGCTCAGTCGTATACTAAGGAGGGGGCATTTCTCTGGGAACTTCAGAAGCCTAATTTTGGCCCTGAGCGTCCCCTTTCTTGCCCTGCAGAGGGTTATCTGGGGTTCCCTTACAGAAACCTTGGTGTGGCTCCACATCCAGGGGGCCAGGTTTAAGGTTCGACATCTGAAAGCATGACTCATGTCTGGAGATACGATTTATGAAGTGAAGGCACAAACATGAGGTCAGAAAATGCTGTCACTCCTTATAAAGGAAAAAAACTGGCCATGCCCTTATTCTTTATATATATATAAACATATATATAACATCCTGTAGCCAGGGAGTCCCAAACCTGAAAAACCTGGATCTAACTGAATCAGGATCACCCGGGGTGGGGCCAGCAAGCATCTCCCAGGTGATTCAGACACACAGCCAGGTAGGCAATCACTATGTTAAGCCAGCAGTTCCCCGACTGCCGCACCTTAGAGTCACCTGCACAGCTGTGAACACTCTTGATGTTCGGTCCATAACCCCCTACCTCGTTACCATGAAATCAGAATGTCTGGGGTGGGACTCAAGCATCAGTATTTCTAAAAACTTACCAGGTCTTTCCAAAGTGCAGCCAAGTTTAAGAAAGAGGGCTCTAAACGAGTACTCAGAAATTTCAATGTGCACATGAATCACCTGGAAATCTTACTAGACTGGGGCAGGGTCCGGGAGTCTACATTTCCAACAAGTGGCGCCAATGCTGGTGGCCCAGGGACTCAGCTTGGGTAGCAAGTTTCTAAGCCAGTGATTTCAAAATGTGGTTCCTGGATCGGCAGTAGTAGCAGCATCACCTGGAAATTCTTGGGCTCCACCCAGGACTATTGAATCAGCATCTCCGGGTGGGGGCCAGGCAATCTGTGTTTAACAAGGCTGCTAGGTGATTCTGCTGTGTGCTCAGTTTGACACTCATTGCTCTAAGCCATTTCCCACTTCTCCCCACCATGCCTCACCCTACCTCTTAAACCATACTTTCTGGCCCAGTTCAACATAGAGACTGGGTTCAAATCTTGGAAGACTTACCACCTGGCAAGAGATAATGACGACCAAATAAACATGTCTCAGAACTTCTCTGTTCATTTCTATAAGTGAGTTAAACCTTAGGTGGAAATAAGTCAGTAATCTGAGGAGAACAGAGGTCTCTAGCAAGAACAGCCAATTTCAGTCCCCTCTCCTAAGGAATGTTTCCCTGGAAGAGGTCATTTTTCTCAAGCAGAAGATTCTCAAAATAAAGTTTAGTTACTTCGATGACATACTATTGTAGGATTGGGTTTGACCTAGAGTTGATAACCTTCTAGTATTTTGTTTTCATAGATTAAGAAACGAGGTTGCGTGACCGTTAGGTGTGGGGACGAGTGAAATGGCAGGTGGTAATTTGCACCCAAAGGAAAAGGTCTCATCAAACTCAGGTCAAGGTCATGATTTTAGACGCAAGATCTTAGGCCCATGCCACAGGGCACCAACCTCCGCAGAGTTGCTCAGTCTCTCTGTGCCATCTGGCAAAGTTTCAATGACTTCAGAGTAGGACAAGCCCAGGGTTTGGGCTAAGATGGTGTCCTCTGAGCTGGTGCTGGGGATTCCTATTCAGAGCGAAGAAACAGAAAACATCTTTGTAAACACCCAAATCACAAAACAACCGACAGCACTGACACAGCTTTAGCTTCTTAAAGGAAACTATCTTCTTTAGTTACAGAAGTTATAAAACCACATCACTTCATTGGGAAAATGGAGAACAGTCTTAGAGAAAACCACTATCCTAACACAACCAGTTTACCATATTGGTAGGATTTCATTGAAGTCTTTTTCCTTTGCTTAATTCCTTTTTAAAAATAGTTACAATTCTAAAATATACAATGTTGGATGCTTTTGGTCACTAAAATAGTAAATCACAAGCATCTTCTTTGAATTCCCTCAGGGACAGAGGACACCGGCGTTCTCCTGAGAAGCAGGGCTGACTCCTCCAGCATTTCCTAGCACCCTAGAAAAATCCACTCAGTCAGGAAGTTGAAAGCTGGCAACCGTGTTTCTTCATACTGTGCTTCGTTCCCAGAGGCAACAGCACATTCTGAATAGACATTTATTCTTCAACCTATATATGCCCTTGAGGAGATGGAGTTGAGCATAAGGCAATCACTCACCCAGAGGGCCAAGGCCCGCGGGTTTGGCTTCAGCTATTCATAAACACAGGTTTTTCAGTTGTTGGTTCTGCAGGTCAGGGTTTCTCAACCTTGGCACTACTGACGTTCTGGACTTTGTTGTGGGGGCTGTAGGATGTTGAGCGGCATCCCTGGGCTCTACCAGTAGCACTCCCCCAGTTGTGACAAACAAAAATGTCTCTAAAATTGCCGAACGTCCCCTGGTGGCAAAATCGCCCCTGGTTGAGAACTCCCGCTGTAGGCTCATCTTTCAAAACTGCTGCCATCCTTGTGGACACAACACATCATGTGGCAAATAAGAGAGATAAAACTAATGGTGGTATACAAAAGCTTAAGTCAGATTTCTGAGAACAACCTCTCTGGAACACTGCCCTAAAAGGGTGATTTCATGTTTGGGAGACAAGTTCTGTGGCTCTTCAGTAAGACGAAAAGCTCTGTGGTATAATGGAACGTTCCATGGTGTTCCAGCTGAGATTATTGACAAAAAGCATCTAATGAAGCAAATAAATGTTCAGAGTGGACTTGAAGGATACTAAAGAGTGAGGACAAATGGCAAGCAATAAACATCACTGAAAAGTGTTCATGGTCAAGAAGGGACAAAAGCCATTTACTACATTCTAAACGTGCATGGTTTGGAGTAACTAAGTCAAGTCTGAATGGAGACATTGTGACCACAACATTTATTTGACTACATAAAGAATGTTCTGGGCCATGGTGTTGGTCATGTGGGGCTCAGTAGAGAGCAAAGTATTTGCAACATGCAGGTGGGATGGCAAAAATACCGCTTGATCTCTTGTTTGTTTGTTTCTCTTCTTCTTGGAGGGCAAGAAGCCATAACTTAGAAAATGTTAACTACATAACTGTAGGAAATCAAGACAACAGGAAAAATGATTTTCCATGCACACCTAAAAAAATCAGATTTTTCTGTTTGTCTTTCAGAATTCTCAATATTGTGTCAGTACTTTGACTCAAGTACCAAAAAAAAAAAAAAACCCAGCAAAAAAGCCACATGAACAAGAGCTTCCTTTATTGTTTATCTTGGCTGGTTGTATTAATTAGTAAAATTATAGAATACATAAAAATAATAGAAGGAGTTATTTCCTTTAAGCAACACACTTGCTAGGTTTAAATTGTCAGAAGAGAATGACTTGAATGGCTTAATATCTGTTTTCTGTTTTGATGTTTTTTCAAATCACTTTGTCAAAAACAGATCTGAGGGCTGGGCTGGTTGCACAGTGGTTAAGTTAGCGTGTTCCACTTCAGTGGCCCGGGGTTCACTGGCTCAGATCCCGGGCACGGACCTACGCACCACTCCTCAAGCCATGCTGTGGCAGGTGTCCCACATATAAAGTAGAGGAAGATCGGCACAGGTGTTAGCTCAGGGCCAGTCTTCCTCAGCAAAAAGAGTAGGATTAGCAGTGGATGTTAGCTCATGGCTAATCTTCCTCAAAAAAAAGAAAAACCCAAAAAACCCAGATCTGAGAATTGCGAGGAAAAACAAAATTTTGATAAGAAATGTTATTTCTCCTACGTGCTAGGAAATAGAGAGGGTGGAAATAACTTTCTCCGCAGGGTTTTGGCACTTGGGAGACTGACTGGAATCTCCAGTAGGAATGTTGGTAAAGAGAGACGTTCAGGTCCATCCTAGGGGCAGATCCGGGATGCAGCTTTCATTAGCTTCTCATCCCTTGGTTCGTTTCCAGACTTCCTGTTAGGTAATGATAGTTTAGAACTCTCAGGAATGAGTAAGGCTGCCAAGGATATCCAATTTACAGTTCTAAATACGCCTTCAATTTTGCTGCTGTTTCACAGCCCTTTCTCGAATAGCTCAAGTTCACCTCCTCCACAAAGCCTTCACCAAAAACTCAGCCCACATGGATCATTTGTGCTTTGAACCCCCATCCCAGCAGCTGCTGTTGGTTCTATGAGTTATGAAATTGGATTGGCATCTGAGTTATATTATTCACCACATGACATGTACAAGTCTCACCAACTAGCTCTACTGGCAAGATCCACGGGCTGGACATTCTTTATTATTCTCAATAGCAAATAGCAAGGTGTGATGTACTTGGCAAGCTTTCAAAATGTAGTTCTTAAGTAAGGATGGTAAAATGAAGGGGCATTCATTTTTATCAAGAGGTAAAACAGATCATGGAATCAACAGTCAGCTCCTCCAGTGGACAGCAACAGGCTAGTATTCTGATTTTAAGCCTGTTAAATATATTATCCTGATTACATCTTAATAGCTACTTACCTATTTTTGAATCCAGAGAGCCCTGAAAGTCAGCTCTGGCCAAGATAACAACAGGGACCTCCTGCTGGGTGAGCATGTTCACAGCCGTCACGGGCGTGAGGCAATCTGAAAATGAGAGCAAGTAACTGTGGAGGGTAGTCAGCTGGGGCGCTAACACGATCTGAATCTCAGAGGAGACAAGTGAGAAAATAAGCATTAGAACTTCTGTGTTTCGTGCTAATTGTTAAAGAATTTGTTCTTTGAAGGTATTAATAGCTAATTCGCACCAGTGGAAAATCAAAAGATTCAACAAATACACGAAAATGTTCATTTGTGCTCATAACCAAAGAAGTGAAAATGGCGTTTTTACTTTCCAGACGATGGAGTAAAGATGTTCCCACCACTCCCTTTTCCTTTTGAAAAATACCTCAAATATACAAAAGAATGAGAAACACAAAAATCTATCTATGATGAAACCAAGAGACGTCTGAAATTCCAAACTGTAACATGTGAAGATGGAAGTGGATAGGAGAGTAGAAAATGACTGAGCATAGAGGAGACTTCCAGACATACAAAGACAAAACAGCTCCTTCCCACATACCCTTTCTAAGGAGAGACTGGAGGATGTGTTCCAGCAAAAGGAAGGGGTAAATCAAGAAAGAGACAGACATGGGATCAGGAAACAGAGACTCCAACAAAGGAAAGAGGGTATGGATACTGGTAGAACAAAGTCAGAGGGAAGTCCTAGGATGACAGATGTACAGCAGAGGCCTGAAGAGTGACCAGGTCAGATTTGAGCAGGATAGAGGGGCCCAGGAAGCATCTTCAGGATAAAAAGGGAATCAATAGATTATTTGACATGTTGGAATATGCAGAACACTGTATTGAGAGGAGTTTTAAAGAGCTTCTGGGAGGGTGTGGAAAGATTCAGTCAGAAATTCAAAGAACACAGAGCAAATGAAAAAAATGAGGACGTCATGAACCTTAGGAAAAACAGAAAGTATAAAAAGACTATACTTGGCTCAGTTGTGAACAATATTTACGGGGTCACAATAAAACACTCGACTTGGAATTATCCAAACAGTGTGTCATCTTAAACGAAGCTCATTACAACTACTGCAGCAGGCAGACGAGCCACATGTCCTGAGTCTTCACTGGATACAGGCAGGACTGGAAGCATGAAGACCCAGATAAAGGCCCACAGGATGAAGGGATGAGAGAGGGGGCAAACCACGAGTGAGTTCACTTGAGCTTAGTGCAACATAAACAATTAACAACAGTTATAATTTAGGAACTCTTACTATTTATATTTGCCGTGTGTTAAGACTTTATATAATTATCTAAAATATGTTTCACAAACCCCAAAGTTAAAATAAGCCTAGGAATTAGGATTTATTTTTCAAAGAGGTAAAGACAGGCTCTGTAGGCATGTAAGCCAGCTCTTATCTTCTTTCACCTTGGGTGTCAGGACGCACAGAAATGCAGCCCAAACAGCCCTCCAGAGCCTGCACCCATGGTACCATGGCTGAGAGGCACCTGCTGCCCAAGCCACTCAAGCGCCAACACTTCTCAAAGTGGGACCCGTATTTCCGATTCCATACTGTCCCTTCTCAAAGAAGAGGTGTACATTTGTGCATTCTGCATGTTATTAGGAGGATGGAAGGGGAGGGCTGGTGGAGTGAAAGTCACTAGGTGATGTCAGGAACTGGTGAATCGAGAGACAGCAGTGCAGGCCTATTAGACAGACACATGGCGGTCTGTACCAGAGAAACAGCCTGTGGCCCAGACTGCGAGTTGACCCCATCTCTGTCTCTCCTGGTCCAGCAGTAGAAGGTTTAGTTGGACACATGGCTGCAGAGCTCACGGCAGCAGAGCTCCCCTCCCTTGCACTAGCTGTGGCCGTGGGGGATGTGCAGAAGCAACTTCTGGGGGATGCTCTCAAAGGGAAGGAGCATGCCCTTCTCTCCTCCCTGCTTACTTACTGCAATGCAGCTGAAGTGCAGAACACCTTAGAACACACAGATAAGGGCAAGATCCTAGGAGGGCAGAGCAGGAAGACAGAAAGAGCCTTGGCCCCGGCCACCTCACAAAGTAGACTTGTCATACCCACTCAGAGTCCCATGTGGGCAAGAAGTAAACTTCTATCTTTTAAGTCACTGGTTTTCCATGACTCTGTCATAGCCACCAAACTGATATTCTAAGTAACATAGACTCCAAAATTAAAAGCAGCTAGGTAAGGAGGCTATTGTTACTGTTGTTGTTGTTGTTAGTAGCGTTTGACTTTCCACATAATATACATATATTGGATTTAAAAAAACACATTAATTTTTAAAAAGAGATATGGAAATTAAAGTAATCCTGAAATATTATTTTTCACCTGATAAGTTAGCAAAAACTTTTAGAAAGGTAACATCACTGTTTGCAAAGCTGCATATATCATTGGCTACAGCGCTGTAAACTGAGAAAGCCCTTTCAGGAACCAAGAAAAGCAACAGGTAACAAGAACTAGAAAAATGTTCATAACCTTTGACTAAAAATATCCCACTCTTGGGAATGTATCCTAAGGACGTAATTCTATAGAGTCAAGAGCTATGTGGACATAAATGTTTATAGGTCCAAACATGAAAAAGGCCAAATGGTCAACATGATAGGGAAGATTTAGGATACTACCGTACACTGAATTGAGAGAATATGATGTATGGATTAAAAACAATTGTGAAGCCTGAATAAAAATAAAGAAACATTTTCTGATATCATATTAAGTGAAGACAGAAGCAATCTAATTTTTAAGATGCGTGTGTGTGGGAACAGGAATTAAAAAAAAACATATGACCACATACAAAAGAATGAAGTTGAGCCCCTATCTTTGCCATATATAAAAACTAACTAAAAAATAGATTAAAGATCTAAATGTAAGATCTAAAACTATAAAACTCTTATAAGAAAACATAGGTGCAAATCTTTGTGATCTTTGCTTAGGCCATGGTTTCTTAAATATAACACCAAAAACAAAAGCAACAAAATAAAAAATAGATAAATTGGACTTCATCAAAATTAAAAACTTTTATGCTTCAAAAATACCATCAAGAAAGTGAAAAAACAACTCAGATTTGGGAACATTTTTGTAAATCATGTATCTGATAAGAGAATTATATCTAGTGTAAAATTAAAATTCAACAACAAAAAGACAACTAAATTAAAAAATGGGCAAATGATCTGAACAGATATTTCTCCCGAGAAGATATACAAATGGCTAATAAGCACCTGAAAAGATGCTCGACATCATTAGCCATCAGGTAAATGCAAATCAAAACCACAATGAAATACCACTTCACACCCACTAGCATGGCTATAATCAAAGAGACAGACAATAACGAGTGTTTAGTGAAGATGCGGAGAAGCCGGAACCCTCTCACACCGCTGGTGGAAATGTGAATTAGTGCAGCTGCTTTGAAAAACAGTCTGATAGTTCCTCAACCAGCTAAAAACAGTTACCACATGACCCAGCAATTCCACTCCTAGATATGTACACAAGGAAATGAAAACTCACTCACGTCCACACAAAAATCTCTACCAATGTTCATAGCAGCATTATTCATAATAGCCAGAAAGCGGAAGCCACCAAAATGTCCATCAACTGACACATGGACAAACAAAACATGGTTTATCCATACAATGGAATCTTATTCTGAAATAAAAAGGAATGGAATACTGACATATGCCATAACATATATGAACCTTAAAAACATTATGCTAAGAGAAAGAAGCCAGTCAAAAAGGACAAACATCATATGATTCCATTTATATGAAATGTTCAGAATAGGCAAATCTAAGGAGACAATGTAGATTAAGTGGTTGCCTGGGGCTGGGGGAAACAGGAAGAATAGGGGTGACTGCTAGAGGGTATGAGGTTTCTTTAGGGGATGATGAAAATGTTCTAAAATTGACTGTGGTGATGGTGTTCAACTCTGGATATACTAAAAACCACTGAATTGTACACTTTAAATGGATGAATTTTATGATATGTGAATTATATCTCAATAAAGTTGTTATAAGAAAAATAAAGGAAAAAAAGTAGAGTATGCATTACAGGGTTGGATTTTTTCCATTGTTCCACATGAAAGTTATGTTATGACAGTTTTTCAATTAGAAAAAAAATGGTCTTTGAACTTAAATATTAGCATATTTGTAATCAATGTACAATAGCAACTTGTAGGCTGTCCCTGGTCAAAAGAAAAAACAAAACTAAAATCTGAAGTTCTTGCCCAGGGCCAGTCTTCTCCATTTTCCTGTCAGTCATGTGCTGGTGACGTGAAGCAGGCGTGCAAGGGGGCCATGGAGAAATCGGAAGTGACTGAAGCAGTTCCTACAAGGGTTAGATAACAGCAGACACTTCAGTAATTACAAAGGAAACATTCTGGGCATGAAGGTGCCCTCTGCCCTCAGAGCCCTCACTGCAAGAAAGGCAGGTCCTTCACGCCCTCAGGAAAAACAGACAAATGGCTTTCGTTCAGTGTTCAGCAAGGCTGTATTCCGTGCAACTCCGTCCCAGAAATACTGTGTGAAGCAGGGTTTTGAGGTCAAGGAAGAGTGAAAAGTGCTGCCTGGCTTCCTCTTTCAGACAGACACAGTGCAGGTCAGCACAGCGAAGGCACTACCAAGTCCAGAAGCAAGAAACCTGTTTATTTTTGTTTTATTCCAGGTTATCTGAGCACAGGAACTTTTCCCTCCATATAACATCGATTAACATCTTGGGTGAAAGAACAAGCTATTCTCTTCCTCAGCCTTTTGTCTCACCCCCGTGCTGATACTATGGAGACAGGGCCAAAGAATAGTGAGCTATTAATTATTTAATGTTCTGGAGCTTCCAGGGAGATGGGGCTCTTGCTCTCTAATGGGTTGATAACAGCAGGGTTCTAAGCCACTCTTTAGGAGACCTCATTTACCCTTTTGGCACAAATGCATTGTGTAGACCATTGGTGACTCAGAGCTGAAACGGGTGGTTCCAAGTCCCAGGGTTTGAATATTTTAATATTATCAATGTAAGAAAAGACTCCAGGAAAAGAAAGAACAGCTTCTAGAACTCTGCTGATATCTCCCTATTAATGCTTTTTATGGTTTCTAGTTCCTATCAAGTCAGAGCTTACATAACATGACTTAAGTCAGGGGTGGTCAGCTGAGAAAAGGAGGCAATGTCAATGATTATGGAAATAAACTCGATTTCAAGAACTCTAAAGGGAAGCATCTTACTTTTTGCTCTCTTAAAGGAATCTGTGCCAAATTAGAGGATGCTGAGGAAAAAACAGTACATTTAGTCAATAATGTCAGCAACCCAGTCGGCCAAGCCAGTAATCAGGGAGTCATCCCAGGAGCCTCGGCCCTTGCTGCTTCCAAGTAATTCTCAGAGCTGTTCCTGCCCCTCCACTCTGACGACTGCTGTTCTGCTGTCTTCACTATCTCTTTTCTTAATTAATGGGGAAGGCTGGTTCTCCTGCCCCGACTCTGCCGCTCGAGCATCACCCCGTCCACGCGGACCACCCTTCTCCTCAGAGCCCCTCAGGGCTCCTTCGGTACCCACAAGGCCCTCCGCAACCACCCTGCCCAACAGCCTCACCACCTGCTCTGCTGAGAAGCTAAGCTTACAAAGGTGAAGTGGTCTTCCTTAAGTCATAGGATGTATCTGGGATCAGAACCTTGGTCATCTTGCGCCAGCTCGGAGCCGATATGCAGAAATCAACTTAGCAACTGCAGGAATTCATGTTTGAAAATTTAAACTCTTGCAAGTGATAAATTCAGTCACAACTGTAGACTGTCACGACTTTCAGTGGTCACTGCTTTAACACCAGTCACCCTCAAAACCTGACATTGGAACAATCCCTGGCTTCAAAATGTACTACAAAGCCATAGTAATCAAACCAGCATGGGACTGGTACAAAAACAGGCACACAGATCAATGGAACAGAACTGAGAGACCAGAAACAAAACTGCACATCTACGGACAGCTAATCTTCAATAAATGTGCCACGAACACACAATGGAGAAAAGACATTCTCTTCAATAAATGGTATTGGGAAATCTGGCCAATCACTTGCAAAAGAATGAAAGTAGACCATTATCTCATGCCATACACAAAAATAAACTCAAAACGACAAGTCCTGAAACGATAAAACTCCTGGAAGATAATACTGGTAGTACACTCTTTGACATAGAACTTAAAGGATCTTTTTGAAAACCATGTCTTCTCAGACAAGGGAAACAAAAGAAAAAATAAACAAGTGAGACTTCCTCAGACTAAAGAGCTTCTGCAAGGCAAAAGAAACTAGGGTCAAAACAAAAAGACAACCCACCATTGGGAGAACATATTTGCAAACTGTATACCCAACAAGGGGTTAATCTCTATAATATATAAGGAACTCACACAACTAAACATCAAAAAACCAAAGAGCGCGATCAAAAAATGGGCAGAGGATATGAACAGACATTTTTCCAAAGAAGATATACAGATGGCCAATAAACACATGAAAAGATGTTCAACATCACTAATCATCAGGGAAATGCAAATCAAAACTACACTAAGATACCACCTTACGCCTGTTAAAATGGCTATAATCACTAAGACTAAAAATAACAAATGCTGGAGATGGTGTGGAGAAAAGAGAACCCTCATACACTGCTGGTGGGAATGCAAACTGGTGCAGCCACTATGGCAAACAGTATGGAGATTCCTCAAAAAACTAAAAATAGAACTACCATATGACCCAGCTACCCCACTACTGGGTATCTACCCAAACAACTTGAAATCAACAATCCAAAGGAACATATGTACCCCTATGTTCGTTGTAGCACTATTCACAATAGCCAAAACATGGAAACAATCCAAGTGTCCACTGACCGATGATTGGATAAAGAAGATGTGGTGTATATATATACAATGGAGTACTACTCAGCCATAAAAAAAAAAGACAAAATCATCCCATTTGCAACAACATGGATGGACCTGGAGGGTATTATGCAAGGCGAAATAAGCCAGACTGAGAAAGACAAACACCATATGATTTCACTCATATGCAAAAGATAAACAAACACACAAAGAGAAGAGTTCAGTGGTTACCAGGGGCAGGGGGGTGGGGAGTGGGCACAGCGGGGTGAAGGGGAGCACTTATATGCTGACGGACAAGAAATAATGTACAACTGAAATTTCACAATGATGTAAACTATTATGAACTCAACAAAAAAAAATTAAGTAAAAACAAAAACAAAAAACCTGACATTTGAGGAAAAACCAACCTGCTGGCCTGATTTGAGCCAGTGGGCAATGGTAAATGGCAACGGTAAATGGCAACAGTGATATAATGTTCAGTTTAAACTGTAATCTCAAAGGCCAAAAGAGACATAAATCCATATTCAGATGGTAATTTTAATTCACCTCTTGGGAAAACTGCATTACACTCAAAGCACTGTACTGGCCTTATGTGACTAATGCCATGTGTCAAAATCCACAGACTTGATGTGCAAATTAATCTAGAGACTGAATAAATTGACATCTGAAAAAAGAATATTTCCACTCTGAAAATTAGAATTGGAAAATTTAGAGCTAAGTGTAATGTGCCATTTGGAATTATTTCAGAGATTACTAAAAAGAGGGGAGAACAAAATAACGAGCCATTCAGTGCCAAAATGAAATGATCAGGCCCAGTCAGATGTGCCGATACCCAAATGATCGTGAAAACATTGCTCTTTGCGTATGCTAAAGTAATTTCTTACATATGAAAATGTTTTGAATTTAGATAGTGCCTTTCAAGTCAAGAATTCCATCTTTTATAACTTATTAGCTCATTAATACTGTATCAATATTACCTCATTTGTGTCCCCAAATTAACCATAAGAAAAAATCTAAGGGCTAGATGTTTACATTTTTTAGTTTTTCAATTTTAGACATTATTCAGTCATCAGCCCTCAAAAAATCTAAAATGCTCATGAGAGTAAAAACTATCAGTTTTCTCTTTAAAGTAAACAGTTGAAAGGAATCCAATTTTTCTTCTGAGCAAGTAGAAAATAAAACAGAAAGAGAGCTACATTGGACTTTATAAGCACACACTGAAATTTTAACTCGAAAGAGTCTTTTCTCTATTTCAATATATAACAACTAAAGAGATGAAACCAAGTGACGTCTGTCTTGTGCTAGAGTGAATTACACATGCATCGGCTCCCTGTCATGACCCCCAGAGGGCGGGACTGTCAACAGTCATCTACGCATCCCTGAGTGCTGAGCAAGCAGCAGGCTCTTAGGAAGCATTCACCGATTTGAACCTTGGCTGTAATGCTGTAAGTAAACAACTAGAAGTCTTAAGTAGAGGTAAGTTGGGATGATGTTATCTATCTTTCCAATCTTATATCTAGAAATCTTTCATTCTGATTATTTTAAGAATAGCAATTTTTCAAAAATGTTACATCACCATCCAAAACATTTTTGTTAGTCAAATAATTCAAAGAGACCCTAATAATTCAGACTGTGTGCTTTGGGTTGAAGTTTATAGGCTATGAAAAGAGAATGGGGATGAGATTTTTATAGAAATGTTTACATTTCTCTGAGACCTACTTCTAATCGATAGGGGACTTCCTTTCGCCTGCCCAGGAGCCATATCCTCTTCTTCTAGCAGGAGCTGCTGAGTTTGTTTTGGAGAGCTACCCCTTCCTCACTGGTTACAGTCTTGGTGGTCTATCAGGGAAGGTGCCTAGCCTTCCCTTGGCCAAGAAAAAGGTCAGGGGCCGCAGTTATGTCGGTCAGATACCTTTCCCTGCCACAGGAATCTCAAACCAAGTGCTCTGAGCACTGAGGGTGAGGTGAGGGTAGATTTGCTGTCAGTGGCACTCAAGAGACTGCCTGTTAGTTCCTGCGGCCAAAACCTCTATGGCTGCCTGGTCCAAGTCCTCTACCAGACTGGTTCTTCAGCTGTTCTTAAAGTCAGAATGCTTCCCACAGCCTTCCAACACGTCCCCCTTTTCCTCCGGGTTAGCCAGAGATGGATTCTGTTGCTTGCAACCACAGAATCCTGACTAATGCACAGGTACTCCCCAAATCCCCATGACCAGTAACAGTCGCTATGCCAATTCCAGGTCAGCTTGATCCATCCATTCAAGACCCGTATTGAGCAGGACTCTGTTCATTTGCTCAGATTACTGTGTGAATTCTTTAAAAATAATAAAATTTAAGTTGTCGAAAATGTTTCCTCCAGTTCTCACAGGCTTCCTTCCCATCCCTGTCAGCATAGTTTTATTTGATGATGGAATTATAAATTAAGCAGAAGATTCTACTCCTATTAGAAAAGAACTTCAAATACAGAATATATTTAAAGGAAAAGAGTTGAGCTTTCAGTCAGAAACTCAAGAAGCAGATAAAGTAGTAACTCAAAGTGAAACCAGGGGTAACAACATTTTCAAAACTCTTTTTAATCCTCATGTTAAAAAAAAAAAAAGTCAGGCCAAGGTGAAGAACAAATCGCATGAGATGACATACATGAAAGGAACACAAACTCTGTGAAGTGCTGTCCAGACTTGAGGCATAATCCTCCTGTCTTAGCCTTCACTTGCCAGCTCACCTCTGCCGGGGACAAGTGCCTTCCGAAAGGCATCCTTCAGAGAGCTGTGCCCGTGGAGGAGTCGGTGGCTGGGAGAGATGGCGACATGGGAAGTGCCGTAAATGGCCTCTGGGGTGGCTGTGTAGGCGGTCAGCTTTTCCCCCGTGACTTGCCCATCAACCTGGCAGGGGGAAAGCAGGGTCATTTCATCTCTCAGTTGTCCCTCTGGGCTGTTGTGCTCCCAGCCATACTCCCTTCTTCCTCCTCTCCTCAATCCCAAACAGTGGGGACAGCTTCTGACCACAGCCCCAGGGACGTCCCGGCAGGGGCAGAGAAGGACGGGAGAAGAGGACTGGAGTTCCTCTTTGGGAAGCCCTCCCTAGGGCCCAGGGCAGGCATGCTTGGTGGCCCGAATCAAAGGTGGTCAAAGCATGATCAGAAAGATGCCTTCCCTGTTTTCCTGGCTCTTTTGTTCACATATCAAAAACAACTGTCAACGTTATAGTGTTTCTGTCCTGAGAAAAGGCCTATACTTTCCTTAAGGATTTAAGGGATAGTAGAAAACAATGGCATCTTGTGGCTGGCCCCGTGGCCTAGTGGTTAAGTTTGGTGTGCTCTGCTGCGGCAGCCCGGGTGTAGTTCCTGGGCATGGACCTACACCACTTGTTGGCGACTCATATCTAAAAAAATAGAAGATTGGCACAGATGTTAGCTCAGGGTGAATCTTCCTCAGGAAAAAAAAATGGCATCCACTTTTCCAACCAGAAAAACAGTCATTGAGGCTAATACCATTTTGAAGAGGAAAGAAAGGACAGCCTGGGCTGAGCTCACGATTGAGTATTCCTAGGGCTGGTTAAAAGCCTTTCAAGGAAGAGACGTATATTAGCCATCAACTGAGTGCCAATTATGTGACAGACACAGAGGACACAGAGAAGACAGATGCCCCCTTCTTCACACATTCATCAAACGCATTCAGAGGGCCAATGATGTGTGAGGTACTCAGGGCCGAGAGCTAAAAAACAGTCCACACTATGGCCTGAGTGACAATCAGGTGTCACCTATGGAGCCAGACTTGGGGCCACAGAGCACAGCCACACGGCCCTGCACCTACAGGACTGAGAGCATTCCTTCCCCTGGGACATCTCACTCTCAGGCGGGTCCAGGAATGAAGATAAAAACACTTTCATAATAAAATCTTGGGCAAGGGAGAGAACATAGAAGACACTCCAGGTACAGCAGCCGAGTGACTCAGAGAACCACATCCTTCACCCTGGTTGAGAAGCAAAAGGCCTTCGACATGGGGACCAGACGCAGTCTAATGCACGGGACCCCAAAAGAGATGGCCTGGAGAGTCTGAACAAAAGGCACAGCTGGACTGAATTTCAGAAATCTCACCACCTCCTCGGAAAATTGGGAGGAGGAAAGCTCAGTTTGGGATCTGTTTTCCAAGGTTCTCAAAGTGCATACTCCCTTATGGGGGTCTTCCCCCGTGTGCAGTTGGGGTGCTTCCCACGTGTGCAGTTGGGGTGCTTCCCACGTCTGCAGTTGGGGGGCTTCCCACGTGTGCAGTTGGGGTGCTTCCCATGTCTTCAGTTGGGGGGCTTCCCACGTGTGCAGTTGGGGGGCTTCCCACGTCTGCAGTTGGGGGGCTTCCCATGTCTTCAGTTGGGGGGCTTCCCACGTGTGCAGTTGGGGGGCTTCCCACATGTGCAGTTGTGGGGCTTCCCACGTCTGCAGTTGGGGTGAGGTGGATCACTTTTGTGAGGAGATGGCACAGGGAATCGTGAGCTCAGTGACAAGTGGCAGGTGCTCAGTAGACACCAGATATGGCTGTCAGTAGGAAAAGGTCTAGAAAGGTAGGTCAACTTTGTCTCTTGGCTGCTGTTTCCTCCTCCTAAAGGTTACGACTGAGATTAAGGTGAGGGAAGGATTTGGAGCTACATGAATAGGGTGCAGAAGTCTTGATTAGAGAAGGAGAAATCAGAAGGATAATAAAGAAGACCCAGGTAGGCAATCACAATAGAACAACTGTCTAGTCGGTAGAGACAAAGAGTTGAGTTTGAGGGGCAACTTCTAGAGCAGGTGGGTCTGCAGTAGCGACCTTTCAGCAGTTTCTGCAGCAGGTCACCTCTTTTGAACCCTGGGTCAGCACACAGTCCTCCACAGCGTTACGTCTGCCTTGTTCTGAAACGGTGTCACAGTTAGCCTCGGCTCCAGTGGCTTTTAACCTGATTTGTGACATGAACCCCCTGAGAACACAACGAGAGTTATGGACCCACTGCTTGGGAAAATGCTCACACAAACACTCTGCCCAGAACTTCAAGGAGTTCGTGGACCCCCAGAAGATCGTCTTTATCTGCGCTGTCCAATATGGTAGCCAGCAGCAATGGAGCACTTGAAATGTGGCTAGGGTGTGCCGAAACCACAAAATATAACAGATTTCAAAGACTTCATACTAAAACAAGAATGTAAACTATTACCTAAATACTTTTTATTGATCGCATCTTAAAATGCTAATATTTTGGATAGGATGGATTAAATAAAACGTTATTAAAATTAATTTCACCTGTTTCTTTGCACTTTTAAAAAATGTGGCTACTAGAAAATTTGAAATTACGTATGTAACTCACAATATCTTTCTACTGGACAGCATTGTTGTAGAGTCCCAAGTTGCTGGTCTATTCAAGGAGTTCTAAAAATGCAGAAGGGGCTTTGTGAGCATTAATTGCTAGAGATGTCATTGCTCCATCACCTTTAATGTGAAGTCCAGATGGCAGCCCACACAGTCCCCGATCCAGTGGGCCTGCATGCCTTTTATTCCATACCATTCCGGAAGGTCTGCCAACGCATCCTGCATGGCCTGTAGGAAGAAAAGGAGAACGGAGAGGTAGATGCACGAAGCTTATTTAAGAGAAAGCAGACAGTTGGGGCTTGCTAAGGTAGGACAAGTGGCGACACTGAAGGAGGCTCAGAATTCAGCCGTCTTCTCGTTCACTTGCCAATCAGAGGAGCACAGCAAATGTCAGACACAGATGCACTACTGTCACATTGCTTTGTGTAAACATCTGCTATTAGAAGCGCACAGTTATTTTCCTTGTTATTTGTCTACTTTTAATCCTAAATTCCTATAGAAGGGAAGCTTTTCAATAAATTATTCTCTTTGGTCTCAAGCACATGCCAGCCCTTATCACTTGAGGATGAGACACATTCCTTCAACAGATGGATTTAAAAGTAAATCATATATTTGTAATGTGGAGGTTCCAATGTTAAATTACTAATTGTATTATGGCTAATTCAGGCAACAGAATGATGCTCTATTTGTCTGGTGTTTCGTAACTCATAAAGTGCTCTCCTCACACACTCTGGTAAGGTGGCTCACTGTCAGATCAGTGAACTCATGTTGAGAGAGGTTATCGCTCTCTCATGCAAGGCTGCAAGAACGGACAAGCCAGGACCAGACCCCAGACTTACTAACAGAATTCTCTCCCCTACAGTGCAGAGATTCTTACTCTACTGTGTGACAAACAACACAGAGCATCTTCCATACCTGTCATCTAGCTAGCTGTCCATTCTCATCTATCTAGGAGAGTCTGGAAGCTTTTGAGATTCAGAAATTTCTTCTGAGGCAGAAATTGTGGATAATGGACACCATCAAGCTGACCAGCAATGTGTTCGTTCATTTGTTTATTCCACCAGAATGTATTAATCACCCACTCCTGCACACCAGGACGTCACCCAGGCACTAGGGGCCTGGGCATCCCCAAAGCAGGATGTACCCGAGGCCCTAACATGAAGGTTAAACAATGCACGAATGAAGTCTGCTGCTATTAGTCGTTAACTGATCAAAATTCAATGTCAAATGCAATTAGCATCAAAGGAGCTGGGACACGGTTTGTGGAGATGAGTCAAGGGAAAAGGTTAATAGTGGGAAGGTAGGGAAGAAGAGGAACAGAGTGGAAAATAGGGCGAGATACAGAAGAGGCGGTGGGTGGACCACAGCCAAGGAGAAGGAAAGTCACAGAGGGCAGGTGAGTGAGGAAAGAGAAGCTCCGAAAAGAAAAGCAAGCCAGGAAAAAGCAGCAGAATTTGAGAGCAGAAGTAGGGCAGAGAGGTAACGGAGAGATGGGGGCCAGTGAGGATAGGAAAACTGACAGAGGAGAAAATTGTATCGTGTGTGGTGTCCAAGCGCCACAGTGGCTGCCGACAGTCAGGTGCAATGAACTGCCGCAGCAATGCAAGGCACGGGGCTACCGCCTGGTCAATAACAGGGTGAGCCTTCCCAACGCAGGGCTGTCGATCTTGAGCAATGAGCAAAGGAATGAGGGGCCAGCGCTACGCTTACATTAAAACAGAATCAGACGTGTGTGCACACTGGAAGAAGGGAGCACTGGAAAGCCTTGGTGGGGGTTTCAAGTTGTCCCTTTAACAGAGCATCACACTAAGGCTTAACAAAGGTAGGTCCTCTCCCTTTCTGCTACCAGCGAACCTGGCGACAGGACACTCAGCACAATCCTCAACGCAGAGACCCGACGACCCTGCTGGCGTTCATAGGTCATGGTCAACAAAGTGATCCTAGGGTTCTCCCATTTCTGGACTGTTACTCAAGAAAGAGTATGAGGAAATGTAAACAAATAGAAACTTTAGGTATTTTAAAGTCTACCTGGTCACTTGAAAAGGAGATCCATGAAAACCAAATAGCTGGTAAAGAAGATTCAAAAAAATTTAAGTTTTGATAATTCAACATGATTTTTGCTTAAAACACTTTATGATGTTGATGAAACGATATTCTGCTGGGTGTGCTTGCCAAACCTCCCAGGGTAGGATCAAGGGAATCTAGGATTGCAGTTTTAAGTAAAATAAGAAGCAGATCAACAGGTGCTAATGCCACACATATGTTCCAGTTTCTTGTGACTGTGACAAGGCTTTCCATAGGAAATATAAATACTTTATGGTTACAGATACAGTTGCCCAACAGGACCATTATGTGTCTGTATTTGCCTGGGTGAAAAACGACTTTTGAAAAGGTGATTGTTCATTAAGCTTCAACTAAAGCAGCTTGCTGTCAGTTTCTCAAAAATACCAAGCCTGCCTCATGGCCTTGGCACGTGCTATGGTCTTGCCTGGGAACACCATTTCCTCAGCTTCTCTATGGCAGCTGCTGAATCTCAGCCTAAATGTCACCACCTGAGAGGCCTGCCCTTGCCCCCTGGTCTACAGCAGGGGCTCCTGTCATTCTCCTCTTTGCTCTTCACCCTATCCAGAATTGTTCATCTCCTCTTAGATCTGCTTGCTTGCTTGTTTATGGTCTGGCTCATCCTCTGAGAGCAAGGATCAGGCTCAGTTTCTTTCACCACTCAGCACTTACAGTTACTCAGCACTTATAGTTCCTGATATATAGTAGCCACTTTGAATACATAAAAAAAAATGAATAAATGAGAACCGGGCCTCTTGCCAAGGTAACATAGAGAACAACCCTTTTCCCACCTCTTCTTCCCTGCTGGTAATGAAGAGGAAGCCCGCCTCTAAAATCTGGAACAGTCAAGGCTCTGGTTTCAGTAGACCTGTCCCAGGGGTCACACTGCTGACTGTGGACAGGTGGCCTCGTCCTCCCAGAGCAGACATCCAGCAGTGGGCCCCTTGACAGTCTTTCAGTTTCACTGGTGTCCCTTTCTTTCCTTCCCTCAAGGGATCTCAAGATGGCTCAATCCCATGATTGTAAGTCTGCAAGCTTTCTACTTTAAGAGAAAGTTACAAAAGGCAAAAAAAAAAAGGTGATACCAGATTTACTTTTAAATGTGACTTCTGAGGGGTTTACAAATCACTCATGGTGGTGACTGTAGTCAGTATGAGATCTTGACTCATCAAAGAAAAGTTAAATTATATTCCAGATGTAGTTTACATGTATGTAGTTGGATACTAATTCTTTGGAAACTAACCACATACATAAAGGGTACAGATGAAACTCAGCTAACTAGAATACTAACTTGATCGAAAGAGCCTGTTCCCAACTCATTCAGATAAACAACAGTTTCTGCACACTTTCCCTTCCTGGCTGACATAAATGCAACATGAATTTGCCGAGCTATATATGCACGTAACAGTTTAAGAATGCTGGAAAACAAATACTAGAAACACGAAGAAGTTTCTGTTACTGTCAACACAGACTTGAAAAGTTGAACAACTAATTTTAGCATGACTCAGAGGTTAATGGGAGTTCTTGGATTTGAGCTTTAGTATACTCTCTTAAAGATGCATAAGAGAGAAAAATGACTCAGATGGTAAGAATTGCAATGTACATACTTCATTTAAAATAAGGATTTCCTAGAAGTAAGTTTTTTCAAAGAAATCAGCCGCTTGGAAATTGGAAAATGGGGGGTGGGATCTTAATTATGAATGAATCATGTGCCAAAGTTTCCATTTACCTGTCAACTTCAATTACAAAATGGCCACAAAATTTGTACAAAATTACAAAATGAGCTCCTACATAGGAGACATTGTGTTTGGTGTAATAAAAGGCGCCAGGAAATCCAGAGGACACAGGAACATGGTGGACTGTCCTATGAGGGTTCAGTCAGCAAAACCCAGGAAACTCCATGGGTCAAACAGCCCAGGTATTTCAACAGGTAAATTGTAAGAAAAAGAAAGGGATGAAGAGGGAAATCTGTAGGTTAAGACACTTAAAAGCCATTATCAAATTAAAAAAAGCGAGGGTAAGGATAAACCACTGTGTCTAGGGAGGCATGTTTAGGTGATAAAACTATAGACAAATGTAAGGAAGTAATTACTCTAAAAATCAGGAGAGTGGCTACTTTGGGGGCAAGGGAGGCAGTTTATTATGGGAAGGGGCATATGGAAGGCTCTGGAGTGCTGGCAAAATTCAATATCTTAACCTATAAGAGCAACTGCTTTAAAAGAATTCAACAACCTATATATTTGTTTTATATGGTTACCTGCATTTAATTTTACAATAAAAATGTAAAAACAAAACAAAAACTTACTGCTAAGTTTGGTATTGTATAGGTCACAACTCTTAATCCCACAATGCTCCCAGAGAGGATGGCATAGGCAAAGGCTGGCCTGTGATCTCTCAGACTCAACTGCAAACTCTCTGGTTTTTCTTTATAGCCCACCAGGCCTGGAGCCTAGAATTGTGCCTTATACTGGGCAAATGCTCATTAAATCCCATTTACTTCCCTCTGCTCAGGGAAGAGAACCATAGAGCAGTACCGCAGAGCCAGAGACCCAGCGTCTAGGAAGGGAGGGCACACCTACTGTAGAACACTTCCTGCATGCCAGGCACTGTTATGGATGCTGCCTCCTTTAATCTTCACAACAGCACAAGTCAAGTAGTAGCATCTCCACCTTGCAGATGAGGAAACAAGTCTAAGAAGTTTTCCCTAAGTCACCCCACAACTATGGGGTGGAACTGAGAAAGCACTTGACGCAAGGTGTTATCTGACTCCTCAGTTCACATTCATTTCTATACGCTACTATGCAATTACTACTTTGCAACAGTAGTTAAATTCAGCTTTTCCAAATCCATAGCTCAGATAGTTTTAGCTTATTATTCTCTAACTTAGAAGAGGCACTTATTAGAGATCTGCTTGCTTCTATTATCTTATTTATATTTTTAATTTATTCTTGGAAGGAGGACTCTGCTTATAGAATCACAGGGCTGAGGTTGTCATCAAAATTCCCTTTCTTTATAGATGAGGACACAGAGGCCGTGAGAGGTTTAGCCATCTGCCCAACACCACTTAGCTAACTGGAGCCAGGCCCCAAACTCACGTCTCTTAGTTCATTACTTAGCCTTCATTTAACTACAATGCATCTTCCTGATAACTTTTCTCCCCAATGGCA